CCCTCTGGTCTTGCAAGTAAGCTTTGATTCGAAGAGGTTGATAACATCTTTTAAGGAGGGAGAAAGGGTTTCCTTCAAGTGGTAAGGCTCACCTAGAGTTAGAAGCCCCCATGGTTGATGTGTTTTCAAACATATTATAAGGTATCTATCTATACATTCAGTGCAGCTCAGTCCCTAGCACGGTCTCAACGGTACTTCTTGCAGAAATAGACAAAAAAAAAATGTTGAAATTCCTATTTAGTCAAGAAAAACCCTGTATGCAGGAGATGTGAACCTGTGGATCCTTCCAGAAGGTTCTGGAGCAGAAAGACTCCTCAGATCTGTTCTGAGAGCCCCTCCTACTCTCATTCTTTCTTTTCCTTAATGAATCTACGTCTATTCTGCTTACTTCCTGCCTGGCTTTCCTTGCTCTTCTTGGACATAAGACAGTGAACTTGGAAGCCACTGGCCCTGGGTGACTTTGAAGATTATTGGTGGTCCAGCACTCTGTCTACTCTTGCCCCGCCCCTTCCCCAGTTAAGTTCTCCCAGAGTCAAGAAAGAGACCACATGATTGTGAGTGGAACACCTCATGCATGGCTAATGGAGCAAGGGACTGAGCACAGCTTGTGGGAACCGGTGTCTCTTCACACCGTGGTGGAAAGGCTAGTTTGCAGTATTTTATTTAGGGTTTTTTTTTCTCCTTAAAATTATGTGTATGTGTCTATGTATGTGGGCATATGTATATTAGTATGTGTGTCTATATGTATGAGCATATATATGTGTGTATGTGTCTGTGTGTGGGTAAACATATATGTGTATGTGTGGGTATATGTATATGAATATGTGGGTATATGTATTGTGTATATGTGTCTGTGTGTAGGCATATGTGTGTGTGTGTATGTGTGTCTATGTGGGGGGGTATATGTACACAAGTATGTGTGTCTGTGTACATGAGCGCAGGTGCTTTTGGAGGTCAGAGGTACCAGGTTCCCCCAGAGTTACAGGCTGTTGTGAGCCATTCAACGTGGGTGCTGGGAATTGAACCCAGGTCCTCTCTGCAAGAGCAAAACATACTATTAACCCTTAAGCCCTTCAGCCCCAATCTCTTGAGGGTTTCTCATCCTCCTGCCTCTGCCTTCTGTGTGCTATAATTACAGATGTCACCACTACATTGGTTTTGTGTGGCGTGAGGTCTCTGATGAGGGCTTCACACATTGGCTAGGGTCGCACTCTCCCAGCTGACCCAAGTCCTCAGCCCTCCCTGCTGCCTCCTTATATGAGCCTGTGGCTCTCTTTTAGTCCTTTAACCCTTTCCTCGTCTTCTCCTTTTACACCCTGCTTCACCAAAACAGAAGAAAACACCTGCGTCAACTAGAGCCAAGAGTCGGGTTGACATCACAACCCTCCATTCAGGTCTCGCATTCAGGACTGCCTGAGAACTTCGGGAAACGCTAAAGGCTCAGCGATAGAACCGTCGCCACAGGGGCCTCTGCCCTGGCAGATTCATTGGCTTTCTGGCTTGCCTGATGTTTGCCCTTGGTGACTCATGTGGACAGAGCGTTCTTGATTGTCAATCCTTGATTGACAGGATTGTTGTGATGGTCCGTGTCCTTTGGGAGGTCTGAGAGCTCAGAGCTGCGTGATTCGCATCTGTTCTGGAGAGGTTTATGCCCGCTTGACACAGGCTGGAGTCGCCCGAGAGGACAAAACCTCCGTTGAGAAAACGCTCCAGAAGATCGGGCTGTAGGCAGGCCTGAGGAGCTTTTTTTAAAATTAGTGATTGATGGGGGAATGCCCAGCCCGCGGCAGGTGATGCTCCCTCTGGGCTGGTGGTCCTGGGTTCTAAGAGAACGCAGACTGAGCAAGCCAGTGAGCAGCACCCCTCCCCGGCCTCTGCGACAGGTTTCTGCCCTGTTTGAGCCCCTGTGTTGTTTTCCTTTAGTGATGAGCTACAGTGTATCTCCACTCAACCCTTTCCTCCCAAGCGGCTTTTGGTGCTGTTGTGTCACCGCAGTCACCCTAAGACAGCATCTAAGATCACACTTCAGTCCCTGGTGCAGGGAACACTCAGTGGGAAAGGAGGGAGGAAAAGGGGGAGGGTATCCAGGGCCAGTCCCTGGACCCGCCTGAGGATGGGGGCTGTGACCCCTTGCCCTGCCTCTTCCCAGCACTGCTGAGCGGCAGGTCTAGATGGAGCTGGCCCTGGAGTTCGCTGTCTGGGACCACACACTTGGAGAGCCTGGCTAATTGCAGTCTGCCTTGTTTGTAAACAAAGTCCCCGTGAAACTTGGCCACTCCCCCTCCTTCAGTGCGTTCTACACTGCTTGGCCTGGCTAAAGCCACACTACAGTGGCAAAATGAATGGCTGGGACAGAGATTGTATGGGACTCGAAGCCTGAGACATTCACCATGCTGCCGTGACGAAGGAAGAAGTGTGCCAACTTCGGCCTGAGCACTGTGGTTCTAATTACGGGCACAGGGCCTCCACTTTCACTGCCAAGGACTCCAAGAGCCCTCACTGCAGATTGTACAAAGCATTTGGCTGTGCTTGCCGGAGGGAATAGACATGAGACCACTAATCCCTGTGAGTTCCCTGGAACTTGGTGTGCTGGTGACAATGTTTGCTGTGTCACTACTCAGCCGAGACTGGGCACGGGCAACAGACCACATGCAAATCTGCTGTCATGAGACCACTGATTCCATTGGGGTTATTTACAGGGGTTCGGATGACTCAAAGGCAACCGTGTCTGTGGGTGACATATTTTAACACCCACTCTGTATGCAGGTTCCCATTGCACTGCCTATCGGGAAGGAAGAACAGGTTCCTGTGACCTGGCCTCCATGTAGGTCGATCTTAAAATGTAACATTAACCTGAGTCCCAAGCTCCTAACAGCACCCTGGCTGGAAGCTTCATTCTATTCCGATCACCCTAAGGACTCCACAGTAGTGCTGAGGAAGGGCTGGAGGGTGTGAGGGGAACACACCCTCAGGACATCCTTCAGAATAGAAACAAGAGCCATGTGGTTTAAAATCATCAGGCACCTTGGATACTTTCCACCTAGGCGCTGGACCCAAGTCCTATTATACCTCTAGCCCCTCATTTCCAAGTTTGGGAAAGGAGAGGCCAGCTGCCCTGTCAGGGACCACCCCATCCCAAGGCCTGAGGCCCTTGGGTGCATTTTCTGGTGGGTGTGTTACAAGGTTCTGTAGCAGTTCATGAGATACCTCTACATGAACATCACTTAGAGGCCAAGGACACAGGGATTAAATTGGCCTTCTAGGTCTTCACATTAATTCATCCTTAC